GGGCGTCATCGCTTTCCAGGCAGTTCACGCTGTTTGGAAAAAGAGGCCACCGTCCCCAACCCGGGCATGTCAGAAACCTACGAGTGCCCATTTGAAATTTTGCCAAAAACATTCACGAGTTCCAAACCAACAGTTCTACAGTCTAATGACCCTTGCTTTCAAAGCCTCAACACCAATAAAAAAAAAAATTAATAACAAATAATTATAAATARTAAATAAATAATTAAAAAAGTACTAACAAATTTGGATAAGTGATGCTAGTTCAAGTTACCAATAGAAGGCATCAATCCAGTAAAAACTTTGCCGGGATGGGCCATACCTTGCAATTATTGAAATAAAAGTGTAATGTTTTAACATAAAAGAAAAAAATTGAGAAAAATCTTCTCAGTTTTTGCAGCTCAATTAAATGTATTAAATTTAACAGGTTACCCCGTGGGATATAATATACTGATTACCAAATACAAAGTGTTATATTATGAGTAGAGTGAAAAAGACAGTTCTGGAACCTGAACCTGCTGGCAGATTCCTATGCTCTCGAGCTAAACCCTGACACACGGCAGCAGAGCAAGCCGTCGATGGCAGAACCCACCACCGGTCGCGCACGTGCGCGACATACCCCCACACGCGGGCACCCTTACCCATATGGTTCCGAACCCGAGCCTGTAGCTTAATGAGCGAYCACCGTACCACTGCGTCACCCCGTCACATATACTTTTTAGTAATAACTAGCCCTATTTAACTATTACAGCAAATGTACATAATATGTACATATGAATTATTAGAATATATGTTATCATATTTGTGTTATCATTTAATGAAAATTATTTATAAGATATATATTATCACATTTGTAATAAAATATACCACGAACGTGTTTGKATATACGTTATCACGCACCCGTTAACATATTTGTGTTCTGCAGTTTTTATTTAAAATATTATATTTGTACACGTATAAATAATAATTCAGGTATGTATGTCAATAAAAATATTATTTATTATGTATAAAGCAACTCATTAATTTCGTCATAATCACTATCCCACCCCTCATACTTGTCCATAACACACAGTAGACCTGATAGGTAGTGTTGTGCAGTGTAGCGTTTTTGTGCTCCGTTATCTTCTTTTTTAGTATCGCAAACCAGCTTATACTTTTTTTCGGTGCGTACATTTAAAAAACGAGAAACTATGGCTAAATTACGACAAGAACTAGTTCAACGGCGTGAAAAAGGTGAAAATGACATTATTATTAAATATGTTAGAGGTGATCCTACCATTATCAAATCAAAAAACATATAAGATATGCACCGCTCAAAAATAATCTTATTAATAACTCTCAGTTAGATGTACATATTTATTATCAAAATGCTCGAAGTCTAAACAACAAAATCTGATAGAGTCGATCATCAATTATTAATAAAAAAATTAGAATCAGTCGGTTTTATTAATCCATTGCTCTCTTGGGTAAATTCTTTTTTAACTGATCGTACACAAATTGTTAAATATGMAAATTTCACTTCTAATATRATTAAGGTTGTATCTGGTCTCCCCCAAGGAGATCATTTATCACCATTACTATTTTCTCATTTCATAAATGACATTGTTAAGATTTTAAAACATTCGGATTGTTTATTACTTGCTGATGACACTAAGCTTTTCAAAATAATTAATTGTATTGATGATTCTAACAACTTTCAAATTGATTTAGATAAATTTTATAAATGGTGCCACAAGAATGGTATATGTACACATTTAATACCGTAAAATGAAATCAGTCACTTTTCACCCGCCCGAGTAYACGTGCGTTAGTATCGTATTCAGTGTTTAAAAATATATTTATTTCTCAGTTTTTAAAATAAAAACCGACCGGACCGGACCAGTCGAAAATATGGCTAATATTTTAAAGACAAGTGTCCACAGTTTGTAGTATTATATTTCTGTTCTCTGCTATAATTGAAATTTATATTGCATCCGTGAAAATATTTTTGTACTTCTAATGGAGGTGGTAGATTTCCAAAACTGTCATAATATTGAACTTGATTTCCGATTTTTTTATACGCTACCCAGTRAGTACCTATACCGTTTTCCGTATCTAAGTTAACAATCGCTGATTCTATTCGTTTACGACGAGCAGGCAACCTATCTCGAGTAAACACGCCGACGAAATGAGGTAYTTTAATCAAACAAGCCATTTTTATAAGTTCGAAATCGTATAAGGCTCTTCTGGGCAATTTAGTTATTAGTTTTTTTTATTTTTTCTAGTTTTTTTTAGTTTTTGAACCCCCCCCCCCACTTTTATATGGTGTGGAACCTGATCCGATTTTATACGAATTGCCTTTATACGGTGCGATGTATAATCCGCCGCCCAAATGAGATTTTGAATCTCTTTTAAATTCACGGGCCATCTTAACCACGTTGGCAACTCCGCCAGTTAGCGCTCCAAGTGCTGACAAACCGGCGAAAATCGGGATGAGAGGTAACACTCCGCCCTTTTCCRGAATTGATATAATCCTTGGAACTTTAGTTTTTTTATTTTTGAATGTTGTTCGTGCGACGGTTACACATTTTTTACTTTATTTCATCATATTTTTTTCACCGATATTTTTCTTTATAGCGTTTTTAGCTGCTTTGACGGCCGCTTTAAACCCACATCCAGCCCCGATTTTACGTTTTGCTTTCATGGCGGTAGTTACGCCCCAAGCGACAGCCTTTTCTTTTAAACTAGAATCTTTAGACTTGAACCCATCCCAGGCTCACTGCTCTAATATAWAGTCAGCCTGGTTGCGATCTGTGATAGAGTTATTATTATCGTATGCAATATCGTGATCTCTACACGCAGCGTCTAAAGGGTTTATTTCTTTATCTCCAAGGGCTAAACGTTTATTTAAATTTGTACCAGGACCACAATATTGATAATCTAAAGAGAGAAATATTATTATTATTATTATTACTAATAYGCTCATATTATGATCTCACCAGGCACGTGAAGCTCTAGCGGTAATATATTTATAAGCGTGTTTATAAGACCAACAYCATTCTTGGACCTCCTTCTAACGAGTGACATGGTGTACTGATCACGTTCCGAGTGTTACAGAGATATTTATTTAAAAATGAAATTCGTTAAACAAGATGTACAACTCACAGTTGAAAATGTGGATCCACCCACTTCGTATAAAAAACAAAGACATGGATCGCTTCTACCTAATACGATAAGATCACTTATCGTAGGTCCTTCAGGCTGTGGGAAAACTAATTTAATATTTACCTTATTAACACACATTAACGGAATACGATTTCACAACGTTTACATATATTCAAAAACATTGGATCAACCAAAGTATGAATTGTTGAGTGATATTTTATCAGACATTGATCGAATACAATTATTTAAGTTCTACGAAAACGTTCAAGTTATTGAACCTGAAAAAGCTTTACCAAACTCGGTGTTTAWTTTCGATGATATTATTACTGAAAACCAAAAGAGTTAGTTCCCAAGCAACTTTTGCGCGATAACGCTAATTTTATTATACTATTTAATCAAGACGAGACAAATTTAAAACACGTCTACATGGAACATTGCTCCGGTGATATGACATATCCACAATTTAAAGACTTTTGTACTTCATGCTGGCGTAAACGGAGATTTGAGTTTATCGTTATAAACAAAGACTGTGAACGCGATAATGGTCGATATCGTTACGGATTCGATACGTTCGCCGTTAATAAACTAATGTTTTTTTTAAAAAACACTTCATTCGCAAAAATGTCGTCTAACGATGAAGTACTAGGAGAATTGATTAAAGCTAAAGAAAATATAATACGCAAGTATGCCGCATTAAAACACGGAAAAGCTGATATATATTCGTTAGTAACAGAAACATTAAAACCAATTATCGAACCATTAAACGAGATTCATAATTCGGCATCACAACCTCAAGACAAAAGTGTGCAAAAAGTTGAATAAAATAATACAGAAAATTTTAGAGTTTTAATAAACGAGTTGCTGGATTCATACAACATAGATAAAACGTATGGTCCTACATTACAATCAAACGGAGACGCATATTTGGGTAAAAAAGAAATTAAACTTTCCGGAGATATATTAATTATCGAAGATACGTCGTACCCGCTAACACAAGGACTTATTAGTTTAATAATTTTGAAAACTCCGAAAATCTATACCACAGACGATTTAAACGTATATAAGCGCATATTAATTCAAACATCAGCTCATCTGACATCAAACGGGAAAAAAATTAAAAAAGTGGAATTAAATACACTGATATAATCAAGCCATTGTTCCCATCTTCAGGTAGTGGGTTGTCTATGAAATTACAAAATAAAAGTCTAGTGCACTGGAATGACCATAATGAGTTAGTCGAACGTTTACGACTACTTTTAGCTTCTCAAGCTGCGGGTAATACAGGTCTTTCCGAAATACTTTCAATTTACGAAGAATTGTATGAAGCGGGTTTGATAAAACGAATTCCAAATGTCTAAACGTGATATCGCTTTCAAACTACACAAACCAGCCAGAAAAAATTATACAAGGCGGAGAGTTAATGTGTATGGAGAAAACGATCTCTGGCAGGCGGATTTGGTCGAGATGATTCCTTACTCAAAGATTAATGGTGGTTACAAATATTTCCTAGTTGTCAAATATGTGATGAAGAAACTCTACCATTTCGCATTTTCCATTTGGAGATTAACCCTAACCAATGTACATTTTATAAAGTATTTAGTCTAAGAAAATGGTTTGTAAATAATTGTTGAAATGTTTTGTAAATAAAAATCATTTTTATTTTTTTACTATAGAGTTTTTTCTTTATCCTAACCTTTCCAAACTTAATATCWACAGGAATACCTTAAAARAAATAAAAAATAATATCACTAAACATATTTTACAAATAATAAATATCTACAAAGGTATTTTACAAAGGTATTTTACAATTTAATATCTATTTTAGAATAAAAACTATCTGTCCGGCTCTGTTTGATATCTTACTCAGCTATCGTATCAGGTTGCCTATAAAATTAAAAAAAAATATTATAAGTAAAATATTACAAGTATGAAATTATTAACTTACTCTGTGGAGTAGTGTYCGTGAGCCAGGGTATGTATTTTATCCTCAAGTACAATCCTCTTGTCATCGAAACTATTATAAGTCACTTTGTTTGACTTGATGGTCTTCAATTGATGTTTGAATGAACGTATAGAGACATTTTCTGTCATAGTTTCCAAGGTTGCATCTCCAAACAGACAACGATAATGATCGTTAAAGTTCATGTGGTTTTTCACTACATGTCCAAGGATTCCTTTCGCCCTGATCTTCTCTTTCCCATTGATCTTATATGTATAAGACTTTGCACGGAGAGCACAAAAATGTATCATTACCTCTGAGTTGGTTTCATCAGAAAAGAGTCCTGGTATCTTCTTTCGTTCGGCAATGTAGCAAGGGTGATCTGGTGGCAAGTCTGATGTATCCATTCGATCAAGTAAATTGGAACTATTCTCCAGGTCTTTGTAAAAATCATCGGTCTGGACATAGTATACCAGTGAATCTGGAAAACAATATAATTTAATATATGAAAATTAGTATAGCTTGAAAACATTCACCTGTATCGGTATACATGAGCTCAATTTTATCTCCATAATKGGCTTKYATAACGTTGTAGTGATAATCATACATGACGGTCTTAGAAATTTCCAACACTGCAAAACCTGTTGAAAATAATATATTAAAATTCAGCTACTATAAGAAGTATATTATATTTACCTATATAAATAGGCTTGCAAAAATCAATGATTTTATTTTCCAACGATATGGCATTGAGAGTTTCATTGTATGTAGTGCAGTGTTTAAACGTACACTTATTTATAAGCTTTTGTAAACGTTTTTCACTACAAACCAGCTCCATTTGAATTCTCTTCCTAMTGGATTCCATCGTCTTTCCAAAAACAGCATTGTTTAAAAGTTTAAAAAAGTCCTTCTCAAACGCGTTCCTCGCCTTCTTTCTCATCTCAGTGTTTAATTCTATGTGTTTCTTAAGCCAGTCTGACTGATTAAACTGAATAACTCTGTGAACCTACAATAAAACAAAATATGTTATAAATTAAATAAATATGTTACTTTTTCCACTACTATTCCGTTTTTAGTGGCCTGCTGCATGYTGCAATAATGGATTACATATTTTTTTTTTTGAATAGAGTGTCGCCATAAGTTTCTTAACTTTTGATCCAGGTGGGATATCATTTTTTGGTAGGAATGGTAAGTCATTGTGCTTGTCATGAAGTTCATTCGGATATGATAAATCAACCTCATATATCCGTCCTATYGGTGATGTGTCGTTCAAATCATTTAACCCATCTAGTTTGGGTTCAACCCACTTAAAACCTCCGTATGGCATGTAATGTGACATTKCGAACCCGTACAAGTTGTTACCTGCAAGTTAATTAATATATCATATTAAAGAAAATTAAATATTAAATTGATCTTACAATCCTGATAAACAAGCCATGATTTCGGTTGTGCTGGATCATAATCTGGTGTCTTTTCATTATTAGCCTTTGTATATCTCATGCTCGCCAGAGTTAWGCCACCACGAATTCCTATAATAAAATCAAGWATTATTTCACATAATATAACTTTACCTTTTTCAATCATTAACAACATATCATAATCTGTCAGCAACTCCAGCTTCATTGAGGTATATTTCAACATACAGTCAAATGAGAATCCAGGTGCCGTGTAGTAAAATGATAGGTCCAGATGGTATGTGTTTAAACAGAGGTCTCGGAAATTTTCAAACACATCAGCCAACAGTAGTACATCAATTTTTAAATAAAGATCGGAGTATTCCCCTAGTGTTTTACAGTTGAAATGACTCCAAACCGTCTTCGCATGATCATAATGTTTATCTTTTATATGTGATTTGTACAGTGAACTGTAAAAATCTTCTTTCCGAGGCAAAGCCGTTTCTTCCAACTTGTCCCAACTATCTGTATACTCATAAGGGTAGACTCCCTTACGAGTAACAAGTGGTAAATCTTCAGATGAAAAATATTTTTCTGTCTCTCTAAACTTTTCAAATCCGGGTGTAATTAAATTTTTTGATAGTTTTGATAAGCTTGCGGGCATAAATCTTAATGTGTCTATAAATCTTATTGTGAAATTGTTGCTAATATATTTTGAAAACGTTATAAACTTTTCGTCACTGTTTGGTATCACCGAAATTGAATGTGCGTCATAACCAAGACGAGTGACAATAAAATGTGAATCATAATTCGATAAATTATAAAAAAATACCGGTACAAAGCTAGGTGTTTGGAGTTTAAGATTACACGTATTACATAATGACTGTCTAAATTTCCCTGATAAATGGTAGTGATCTGTCACCTTATGATTTTCTAGGGAAAACTTAACCTTACATATATTAAAATTATTACATAATGCATGTGTTCCCCGTTGTTCGTCTGTGAAAATTATAGGAATGTTTGTTTTGAGGAATTCTTCAATTTGTTTGGCTATTTCGACAATACTATCCACAAAATGTCCAGCTACGTCCTTATTATTTTCATTTCCACGGTAAATTACAGGTTATGTTGGAATACCAAATTTTTCAAGCAGTTGTACTGGTATGTCTTCATTTGCTTTAACCACATGTCATGGGCTCGTGTTGTTGAAAAGCAACTGTTTTTCTCCAATTTTCTCTTCAGTTTTTTTGAGAATTGCTTCGAAATCTGCATAAATTACTATAGGATGACGTTGCGTTTTATTCCATGCAGTAAACTCGAGCATTGTACCAGGTTCAGGCATCTGAGCTAGTATAGGTTTATGTTCTCCACATATTAATTTATGTTGCGCTAGTCCAGCCTCTCCATTCAATTTATATTTGTACTGTTGTTTGTCGAATGATGTGAAGCACCGTTTGCAAAATATTGATTGCCCATCATGTCTGGTTTTTTGTGACCTGATGAGCCGTGAAAAATTAGATATGTAGCTATAATGACTGTTATCCTCGTCTGATGTTATAAGTAGATCAAAATGGTCTGGTTTTTCTTAATCTACTACTTTAAGAGGAAAAACTTTATATTCTGCGAATTTCGGTGGTTGAAATTTCTTGTCGATACCGTAAACATTGACAGACATGTTTGGACTATTTTTTTCAAAAATTTTAACTTTATGTAGTGGTTTTGGGAATTTAAATCAGAAAAATTATATTTTTTTTCGTGTTTCAAATAATTATCACCAACACGATATTTATTTTCTCCTGTAACATGTTTTGCTAGGATTGCACACTTGAAGCATTGCATGTCTAAGTTTTGAGGGTTAATGACAGCTTTTTTATTTTATGTTGGGTCTGGTAGTGGCATGTAGGATGATCCACCCAAAGGTGTATATTTATATACGCCTAACTTTAAACCGTCTATACATTGTAATGTGAAACCACTACCCTTGCTTGCATACTCGTCTTGCTCTTTCATTAATTTAGTAAATGCCTCTTCAACAATCTCCTGTACTCCAGTATCACAGAAAACCGCTTTAGCCGAAGTTTTAAAAGCACGGGTTTCCGACGAATATTCAACATTTGGTATATATTATATGTCACTTCAAGCATTAAATTAAACTTGATTGGATTTTTACTTACAATTGATTTTAGTAAATTGACTAGTTCAGATATAGTTTTGAATATTATTGGTGTTTTTTACGTAATACCAGGCGATAGTATTGTTTGCTGATGTAGATATTGGTTGAAATCCGGGGGACTTTACGAGATTCAAACGTAACTTTTTTGCGCTAACTGCTGATCTAGTGTTGGCACTGGAAACGCGTTTTCCATTATCAAGCGTAGTGTATGAATCTTTAAAAAAAAAAAAACCTAATTAGTCTATGCCACGTTTATAACAATTAAATTACTAACCTTCTTTTTCACAGTATCCAAGATCCTCCATAATATCTGCGACTTGAGCGTAATCTTCATCATCAATGTCGTTGTAAAATGTGTTCGTTATATTATCTCGTACTGTTGGCACGTGGGTATTTTGTTTATCTCGTACTGATAATACGTTATCATTTTGGGTGGGTGGATCCGCCAAACAATCTCACACGGTTGATGCGCGGTCATTTCGGCTTGGTAGCACTGTTGGAGTGGTATGTCGTCTGCCGGAATATCGGGAACGATTATATGTGGTGCGATCTGTATATTTCCCTGCTGTACGGTGCCTAGTAAAAATATAATATAAATAAATATTTAAATTGATAGTCAACAATACTCACCACGAACATTATCGGGGGTGGGTACATGTGGTTTGATTCTGATATTTCTTTGCTGAATCGGGGCTTGTACGATACCTATTAAAAAAAAATATATATAATATAAATATTTAAAGTGCTAAACAGAAATTCTTTCCGTGAATATTTTTTAAATGTTTTTTGAGGCTGGTCTTGTAACTGAATGTTACAGCACAAATTGTACACGGGTAACGCAGACGCTCGTGCGTTTTTTGGTGAGCCGCCAAATTACGTTTTGCCGTGAACTCTGAAGTATATTGGTCACATTTAAACAATTTTAAATGTGTTTTTCGGTGAGCAGCCAGATTGGTGTTGCATACGAATTCCAAATCACATTGATCGCATTTAAACATTTTTTAATGTGGAGCGAACGTTATAACACAACAACAGTGTGGAATGTACTAACTGACCATCCCTAACATACACGTAATAAAACGACATTCCCCGCTACCACTCACCTCATCATGCTAACAATCTTAACCAAATGTGACGTATAACAAAAGATTTTATTTCGACCTTTTTTCACTAAGTAATATAATATTTAAAAACTAAAATGTATATATATATATATATATATATATATATATAGGATATTTAAAACTAAAATACATGCATAATATTACCAAGTCTCCTCCTCAGCGGATAGTCGTTCACGAACGCGGTCTGGTCTATATTGATCTCCGAAAGTATACGCTCGATCATTATATAATTCACTAACTTTTGTTTCATAAATTTCAATACCTAATTGGAATAATACATTTTTCTGATTTTTTGTTTCAGGGCCTAGTTTATTATGTAAATCTAAATATTTTAAATCCGAACGATCACATGACTAGAGGAAAATTCTGAACATTAGATTGTGCCAATAATTCCCTCCTATCTGAACGTTCTTCAATTCCAGGTCCTCGTAATGTAAACGTTTAGATTTAAAAGTTTTAGAAACTAGATTATTAAAATATCTGGGTCCTGAAACATGATCGAAAACCAGACTATTACACGTCAAATAAAAGTTCCAGTTAGCATGACCCCTATCACATCCCAATTGATATATAAACTGGTATATTTTTCTAAAAAATATTCAAAGTCATAGCTAGAATACCTTGCTAATAGAGGTATCAGCCATTCAGGTTTTCCCCAAAACTTTTATGAGACGAATTCAACCCATAACGGCTGACCCTCTAAATGGTATAAAAACCAGAACATAGGCATTTTATTTTTACAATCTATGCAATTTTTTTTTTTATGAGTCTGTGTACCGCATGAGGGATAAAGCATGTATTCTAACGTGCTTCCGAAATAATCATGCACTACTTCTAAAACTGTAAATAAAAAAAATCGCACTGATATTAAAAATCGCACTAATATTAAATATTAAATTTATTTACTTGAATTGACGT